TTTGAAAAAACTTTAGTTTAAAACTTTATAATTTCAAGAAGCTTTAAAAGTCACTCTTTTAAGCCTCAATTTCTATATGTGCCTCTCCTTTTAAGTTGGATGTTCAAATATTTCTCATAAATCTTTTCTTATTTTTTTCCTTATTCTAAATGATTTACCTACTTTCCAAACAAAGTAGTATGAAGGATTGTCTTTTAAACCTATACTAATGTTTCTAATTTTTATACCCACTAGAGTGAATGTGCAAATTTCATTCGAGTACTTCAACCCTATAATAAGACTCATCTTTATGTGTGTGGAACTGGAGCATTTCATCCAATATGTGGATATGTCGATCTTGGACTCCACAAGGAGGTAATGAAATAGTAGAAAATATAATTTACTATAATACCTTGTTACATAATGTTTATAACACAAATATACATTTCAATATAAAGATTGAAACATAATTTTTGATCTATGTAAGACTCACATTTCTAAACATTTTGTGAATTATCAGTTTCGTTATACATCTTACTTGCCTTCTAAGTTTTTTCCTATTAAAATCCTTGTTTTAATGAGACAAGCACAATTATCAATGTAAAGTGTTCAAAGAAACTGTCTTTTATGGACTCTGTTTATACCTTCACTTTCCCTTTTAACAATATGTGTACATACACACTTATCTATCTATCTATCATGATACTGTTGTTAAAACTCCACTTTCCAACTTCCCAAAAGATTTTACAATGGAATTATACCTTATAAATAATTTCATACTTTCTTACAAAGTTGGCGTGTGCTCTATACTGTTTCTGCGTTGACATTGCTAGCCTCATGTTTATGCATGTGTTTCTTGAGAGAAAAAAAAATCACACATCTTTTCAGGCTTTTTGCTTAAGAGTAAACTCTGGGCTTATGAAACAGGTTTCTTTACATTAATTCAACTAATTCACACAGAGAGCAAATCCATAACTGTGATAAGCTAGATTTTCCTCTCTAACTAACTTGTCTAATCAACTGAGACTCAACTGTTTACAAATAAAGCAACTTGGGCTGGGCTGGAGAGATTGTTCAGTGGTCAAAGAACACTGGTTGTTTTTGCAGAAGACCTGGGTTCATATCCAAGCACCCACATGGCAGCTAACAACTGTCTGTAATTCCAGTCTCAGGGGATCCAACAGCCTCTTCTGATCTCCATGGGCACTGCACAACACAGGTGCACTTACCCTTTAAATAAAGCAACCCTGATAGTTAAATTCTGAGCCACTAGGAGACTTGGCAATTGAATCCATCATTCTTTGTTGCTGGTATAATATTCTCTTGCCTAGCTTTGATAAAGGGCAATATGTAACAGTAGCTCATAGCACCAGGGGTATAATTACATGGGAGACCCACAGCTTGGGTGTATTTGAGTCCTGAGGCTAAAGAACCAAAATCACAACATGCCCAGGGAAGTAAATAGCATTCTCTAACTCCTTAAAGTCACACATCCTGAAATGGAATTTGGATAGAGTTAATTATTTATCTTGGGACATGTCAAGAAGTCCTGAGGAAGTCAAATTTACAAGATTTCTGAATAAGAGAATTATGAGTGAAGAGGGATTTTGAGACGTGCTCATTTTCAACTGGTCAGGAAAGCAGGTAACCCTGCTTCAACATGATTCACTGATTTTATGTATCATTTATTTCAAAAAATTACTATATTTCTAGAAGCTTACAAAGTTTTTCCATTTCAAATAGATAAGCTTACTCTGCAGGGGAATGGTTAGAGGGAACGGTACATGCCAAAAGGCTTGAAGAAGGCCCTCAGTACAGATGGCTACTCAATGTGTTTGGCACAATGAGAAAAAAGAGGCAGAAGCTTAGAGATGCCCAGTGAGTTGGCAGGGAGTTAGAATGCAATGCAATTTACTGAGGTAAGAGCAGTGACAAGTTTCTGAGAGAGATGGTGAGTTAATAATAGCACATTCTGCATTTGAAACATTGTCAGCAAGTCACATAAAAAGGGGTGACTGCATCTTAATTCAGTAGAGTTTCAATAGTCAAGTTTGAACTATGACTGAGTCATTTACCAGCTCCATGACTTTGTGTATATTTCATAGGCTCTCTAAGCTTTTGTTTATTCAGTAAAATGAGATGATGATAATAACAATAACAAATGCCTTATAGAGTAGCTTTGAACATCAAATGAAAAGTGATGGAAAAATAAGGTATCAAAAATTTATCTTTCTCTATATATAATTGTATAATATATAATATAAAATACTATGTATCAATATAATTATGAAAATAATACTTATATCTTGTAATTCTGGAAATGTTTGATGACCATTTGACAACTGGAATTCCCAAATATGATGGTACACACTTATAATCCCATACTTCAGAAATAGAGGCATGAGGATCAGGAGGAGTTCAAGGTTAATCTCAGCTACATAGAAAGTTCAAAGCCATCCTGGGCTATTTGAGACCCTGTCTCAAAAATAATAATAAATAAAATAAAATAGAAAGAGAAGAAGAGGTTTTCTTTCTGTGACTACACAACTTATCTTTAAATGGGGCTGATATGGATAGTCACTTCGCTGCATTGTAATGATTAAGTGTTTTCTTACCATACTTTACTTATCTCTTTGCTTCTTGAACAATATTTTCTAAATTTGTATTACATTTTAATTTAAAAGTGTGTGTGTGTGTGTGTGTGTGTGTGTGTGTGTGTACATACACATACATGTATGCCATGGCACACTTGGAGTGGCATGCAATTCTGTTTGTCTCAGGAAGTGCATTGCATTGAATAACCTGATTTTGTTTCATTTTCCTGTGTCTGTCTGTGACTCAGGGAGACTTGCCTTCCTGCTGTGTCCCTCTTCCAACAGATTATAGGGAAGGATTTGTCCTCAGTTCCCATAAATATTAATGTTTGGACTTCTTGTCACAATTTAATGCAGTGTGATATTTAAAAACACAAATCTGTGCAATTGTCACAGTTCATCTACTACTATGACAGTCTCCCAGATTTTTCTGACCTTTTATTACAATCATCTCGGGTACCAGTGTTTGGTTTGCCTTCTTCTTTGCAACATCTCATCTTTTGTCTTAGAGTCAACAAGTCTGTTTAACATATGTACATCTTAATATATAAATATATTCAATAATGTAACTTTAATAAATAAATGATAAATAATACTAAAATGGTAAATAAATTAAAAAGTAATATACATTTAGTGTATGTAAATATGCCTGATACCCACTGTTTACAGTGCACATCCCTCCATCTTCTTTCCCTGTTCGCAGTTTCGAAGCATGCTCTAAGTGTGTTTTCTCTGCACTGCAAGTTTTGTTTTGTTGTTTTGTTTTGTATTGTTTTCTTGAGAGAGAGTCTTCCTATAGTTCCAACTGGCCTGGAACTAAATGTGTAGACCAGGTTGGCCTAGCTTTCACAGAAATTCACCTGCCTCTGTTTCACAAGTGGATGGTGGGATTAAATGTGTGTGCCACCACAACTGGCTCACTGCAAGTTTTCCATACCTAGAATCAACTATATATTTCCTTAAGTGACCTGTTCAAATTAAACAGTCTTGGACTTGGTCATGTGGCAAGGTTACATTGGGTCTATAAATCACAGACACTTTAAGTCCATGATTTGAATTTCTGAAACAAGTAAAGTACCATTAATTATGTGACTCTAAGCAGAGTATGTAGCCTGTTCTGTCCTCACTGACCCCCATGCAAAATAGGAATTATGAGCATAGTTACACTCTACGGTTAGGAGTGAGAATGTAGTGAGACTCTGAGAGAAAGTACCTGATCTGTGTTACTACCCTGTAGCTATTACATGCTGTTATTATAAGAATTAATGAGTGTTCATTTAGAATTATGGGATATCAGTTGCTAACCAGACTATTTAAATTGCTATTACTAGTTTTTAGCGAAACAGTACTTACTATTCATCTTGATCAAAAGAAAAGAAAAAGATCTCAAATGACAACATAATTCAGCAAATAATCTGGTGTTCTCTTTCCCCTTTGCATCACCAATTGGTTCCTATATAGCTAGTAATGAATGGTTCTTTCTTATTGCATGAGTGCTCTGATAGAACACTTTTGGTATTCTGTCCAGAATGTCTGAAATGTTGAGTTTCATCCTGAGTGCAGAGGCTGAATCATGGGCATTATGGTTGGAAGGTGGTGTCATTGTTATGAGGCACTGGGGCTCCTGGGACTGTGTTCATTATGCATGCATATTTTTCTTGGAAATTTTAGCATACGATTTTTTTTTCCATGACTATTAAAACTCTGCCAATGTCATTCTGTCTGTGGTCACTACTATAAAAATAGATGCTTCAGCCAAAATAACTATGTGGCTCTAATGTCCACAGTATTTTCATAATAGTGAAAATACTACAACAGGATTTTTTTCCCCACAAGTATCAACATCTCTGAAAATGAACTGCTTCTTAGGATGCTTTAATGTCATTAAGTACTTTTAAAAGCCACAAACCTTAAACAAGCTGATCTCATTGAAAATGCTTAGTATACAAACTATAATCATTTCCTGAAAAGTACATATTTTTTTCCTTTTTGAGAAAAATGGCTAATTTCTTTTTTAAAAAAATATTATTTTTATTTTATATGTAAGAGTATATTTCCTGCATGTATGTAAGTGCATCTGTGTCATGCAGTGTCCACAGAGGTCAGAAGAAGGTGTTGGATACCCTAGGACTGGAGTTACAGGTGGTTGTTAGCTGCAACATGGGTGCTGGGAATCAAACACTGGTCCTCTGAAAGAGCAGCCACTGCTCTTAATCTCCGAGCCATCTCTCCAGCCCCAATTTCTGTTTTCTTCTGAGACATGACTTTATATACCAGAGCCTGGTCTAAGAGTCTCCTTGTCTCTCTGTAGCCAAGGCTGTCCTTTAACTCCTGATTTTCCTGCCTCTCCTTCCAAGTACTAGTCTTATAAGTACACCACAATGCCAGACCACAAGTTTATTCCTTAAAAGAGAATTTGGAGACTAGGGATGGCTCTTTAAGTAAAAGCACTTGCTGACCAAGTATGAAGGCCTGAGTTGGTAATCTCCAGAGCCCAGGTAAAGTCAGGCATGGAATACCACATCTGTAATCTCACCAGTCCTTTTGGGAGAAGAGACACGAACGAGATACAGGAAAATCTTCAGAATCCCACAACCCAGACTCTGTCTCAAACAAGGTAGGGGGTGTGGACCAGCACCTGAGCTGAGGTTGTCCTCTGAATTCCGCTGTGTGCAGCAAAATGGAACATGTAAGCCCACATTCACACAGGCACACACACACACATACATACACACACATTTGCACACACACACGGGGAGAGAGAGAGAGGAGACAAACAGACATAGACAGAGAGATACAGAGACAGAGGGAGAGAATTTAGAGAATTTTTAATAAGAGAAGGCTGGTCATGATGTTGCATACCTTTAATCTCAGCACTCTGGAGTCAGAGACAGGTGGATCTCATTGAGTTCAAAGCTGGTCTGGTCTATTTGGAGAGTTCCAGGCCAGCTAGGGCTGCATAGTGAGACCCTATTTAAAAACAAAGTAATCAATTAAAAGAAAAATAGTGAGAGTGTTTGGTTTAATTAGAGTAAATTCTTGTTTCACAAGCATGATGACCTGAACTCCCAATGCCCACCTAAAAAGCCTGCACAGCAGCACATATTTGTAATCCCGGCACAGAGAATACGGAGACAGGTGGATCCCTGTGGCTTGCTCACCAGCTAGTCTAGCCAAATTAGTGAGCTCAATGAGAGACTCTGTCTCAAAAATAAGGTGGATAAGGTTCAGAGAACAGCTCAGAAAAGGGGACAGGAAGATTGTAAGAGCTAGAGTGTCAAGACATCTGTTACTAGTTAATGTATTATAGACCTGATAAGGAAACTACACCATGAAATTTCCCCAGTATGGTAGCCTAAGAAGACAAAACTACCTAACATTCCAATCTGGATATGAAATTTTACATGGTTCCACCTCAAGATGAAGAGCTATTGAAAAATCAGTGGATCCTGAAAGAAGGAGAATCAGTTTTCTCCAAGGACGGAGAGGAAATGGAGTCCCTAAGAGACTATCAAGTCCCAAGTGGGCAGTCCTAAACACAGGTACAAATGAGCACCACGAAATGTATATAATAATTGAAGAAAAGGACAAAAAATTGTGAGGGAGAGGAGGAACATGGAAAGAGTTGGAGGGGACTTGGAGGAATGGAAATAATAAAAATATAATGCTAATATATGAAATTCTCAAAAAAGGAAAAATACAAGATAGAGAGCAATGCTGAAGACATTTGACGTTGACCTCTGTTGGCATTGACCACTGGCCCCCACAAGCCAGAACACACACTGCCTTCATGTACATGTGCAAGCCCACACAATCACAAACATGTCCTCAGAACACACACAGGAAAAAAAAAAATTATACTTTGAAAATACTGTTATTTTGTGATTTCTTTTTTTTTTGCTGAGAGTGCAACAGACAAAATGCATTTATAAGTATAGCATTGTTTCAACCTGAACAATTCACTGATTATTATCATCTCCCCTTTGGGAAAAGAGATCAGACAGGGGCATTGAGTCTTGCTAGATGTGATACCATCTAAACAATGAATGTGCTTTATGCTTCATTCATTTGTATAGAATCATAAGTTGGAACTTAAATTTTCCCTGTTCTTTCCTTGCTGATTGTGATACATTTTTAAAAGCCATTGTATTTATTATCATAGGAACTCATATTCAAACTAGAGATGCATAGCTTGGAGTCTGGCAGACTGAAGTGCCCGTTTGATCCTCAGCAACCCTTTGCTTCTGTAATGACAGGTAAGATCAGTAAACAGGTTTTAGTTTTCAGCGACTTTCTGAAAAGGCCTGTGTAAATTAAGCCATATTGTCTCATTGAATTTCGGGTGATTTTGTATTAACTCTTCACCACATGTTGGTGCCAGTCTCTCTGCATGAATGTCATTATCCATGAAGGGAGGGAGCCTATGGCATTCCTTCATGTCTGTATAGCTGCTTTTTAAATGAATGTCTGACTGCATTCTCTTTAATAGAAATAATACCTTTCTTTGTTCTGAAACTCTCTATCTAGTTATTTGGGGTTTTTCTTATGCTGAGCTCTGTTCCAACTTGGCTCAGTGTGGGTATCACATACAGCAATTCTGTAAGTATGTAAATTAATAAGTAATGAATCAAACTGTAGAATGCAGTTATATAATGTCATAACATATTTTTTCTCCTAGGGTTGTTACTAATGGAAATGTGAACTTTTTCCTCACATGTACAGGCCTGTCTCTCTTTGTAAACATTTTAAATTTTCCAATGAGATGACTATCTTGTTGAAAGAACGCAGTACTTTGTGATCTGAAGCATGTTCTAAAGAACATCAGCAGGATCCCTCAATTTCAACTTTTATAAGCAGTCCTTTGTCTTGATCTGGCTCATGACTAATCTCATTTTATGTAACTTGTCTATCAAATGTTTGAATAGATAAGAGGTAAACACTGTGACATTTTAATTTTCACATACTGAGGACTGGCAATCTTTCTTTGAAGTGACTGTGTGTTTTGAAAATAATATGACCAGTGTTCATTTATTCTCAGTGGTTAAAATAGACGATTTTTACTTGTCAAGTTGAGTATATGTACTCTCAATAAAACAGCACTCTGTGGACATTGGTAACCCCTTTTAGGAACTCCTATAGAACTCTAAATACAATGATGAAAGTTTTTAATACTAGATATCAAGATTTAAATTTAGGTGAGAGCATACTTTTACTGACAAAATATTTACATGCTTAGAATTTTATATATGTCAAGATGATGTATTAATTTCTTTATTCATACCATATTTTCTCATTAAGCTTTTTATTATAGCTGCCATTTGTGCTCCTAATCTTTAAAGAATTTAATTCACAATAAACTATTGCCATTAACTGATGTGGTAGAGAAGTACCATCTGAAGATGGAGATGGTACCATGTTGTGTCAACTGTATGTAGGTAGATTTCATTCATTTCCGTTTTACTTTCTTTAAAATCTAGCCACTGACATTATTTAGATGGAATTGCCCCAAGGAGCTCAGTTAAAATCTTATTTAAATAGACACAAGCAGAGAATTTAAGCAGTAATTTGATCATTTACTATAGAAACAGAACTTAAAGATGTTTCTGAGGAAAGTTGAATTTCACTGATGATTTCTTTTTTTAATTTTCATATATAGACACAAAATTTAAATGATCTGCATAGTAGCCATTTTTACTTTAATCTATTAGGTGTGACCCCAAGTAGCTTCCTAAAAAGTCCTCTTAAAATAGCAGAGGTTTAGCTCTCGAAGGGAATCATTACATTACAGGGACAGTCTTCTTCCTGCCCTCTTCCAGCAAGTGTTCAGTGTACCAACAGGGAAAGTTGACCTTGACCCCAAAGACTCCTGTTTTCCCCTCAGTTGCTTCAGTTCCTGCTCTTCCTCCCTCCACTCTTCTCCCTCAGGTGATTTCTCCCTACTGCCTCACCTCCCTCTGTTTCTCCCAGATTTCTCCTCCTTCCCCTTTCCCCTTCTCTTCCTGCCATCTCCCCCCTCCCCCCTTCTCTTTGTCTATGCTTTCTCCTCCGTCCCCGGTATCTTCTTCTTTTCCCCCTTCTTCTGTAGTTTTTCTGTCTTTCTCTCCTTGATTAAAAATGCACTTCAGATTTATAACAGTGCCAAAAAGTTTAGGATGCAGGAATAGCAGCATATTGTCATATTTCCCTTGTTTATCAGCGTTTAGAGACACGATCAGCTACAAAGAATGCAGTGTGTTATAATTATAAAGAGTGACTTCACTGCTGAAAGCTCCTTTTCAGCAGGGGTTGCACAAAGAAAAGCTGCGGTCTTTGAGGTCCTGTCAGCTAAGTAAATATTAATTATGCAGTCCTTTCCTCATTATGACACTTAATGTTTAATACTGTAAGTGTTGCTGCAAAGAGGAACTCCTAATTATGCTATTTCTCTGATTATTTGTGGGAAAATGGTAAGGAAAAATATATTCAAAGTACAGCAAATGCATGTGCCGATATTAAATGGGAATTGCTTGGGCTTCCTGAGTATTCAGTTTTCTAGACTATGCTTATTAAACTTAATTGTGTTGTTTCTTCACTGAAATTGGTTTAGTGAAATCTGAAAGCGGACTGTATAAACATCATACTCTGATGCTAAGCAATCTACATGTTTGGTGTCATGCTGAGGGATCTGTGTGTTGTAAATAGCATGAGCTTCTGTCCTCTGAGCAGTCCTGTGTGTGCTTTTCTTCTCCCAGATGAGTACCTCTACTCTGGAACAGCTTCTGATTTCCTTGGCAAAGATACTGCATTCACACGGTCCCTCGGGCCAACGCAGGACCACCATTACATCAGAACTGACATTTCAGAGCACTACTGGCTCAATGGTTAGTGATGCTTCATTCTTGATTGTTTTGACTATGTTTTTGGAAAGATAAGGAGCTCATGATTATTCATTCAGATGTGGTTGGGGATAGTTGACTTAGTACAACATTCCAAAATACATTGGAAATGATTTCACATCAAATTAGACATATTTCCAGAAAGTTTTGTGCATGTGGTAACAGCTGACATTTACTGAGTGTGTGCTATGTCCTTAGCACTACCCTGTTCTCTGATGGACTTTTTACAAAAAATTCACAGTGTCATTTGAGATTCGTTTTTTATTTTAGGTTTAAAGATGAGTAAATTGTAGACATTAAAAGCAGAGTAATTTGGTCAAATACAGTCTGTCAGTTGCCAGGCTGGGTTCCAAGCTGACAATCTGCTTTCAGTAGTCTTTGTTTTAATGATAAAATTTATAGATTGTAATGCTAAGTTCTTTGTTAAAATATATGTTTAACGTATAAATAAAAATAATATACTTTAAAAAAAATTTATATACTGTGCATAGATCAGATCAGGGTAATTAGCAGTATCTATTCCTTATCATTTCTTGGCAAAGATAAGTGGATACTAATTTTTGCTACTGAAATTTTTGTGTGGGTTAAGATACATCGTTCCAAAATTTTTCAAGTGTTGATATTGACATTGGTTTGTCTGATTTTTTAAAATTTAAATTTATTTGATATTCAGTATTTTAAACACAGGAAAATAAAGACACTCCCTAAAGAATTTATGTAGCTAATTCTAGGATTCACGCAAGACTATTTCAGCCATTGCCTTACAACAGACCACATTTTACCTTGATTTTATAGTGCTTTCAATTAAAAATAGCTTTATTCCATTTGGAGAACAAAATAACACAAAACTGCTATTTAAACAGACCACATTTTGCATTCCCAGCATAGACAGTCAGCCTTAGCAAGAGGTGACCAAAGTAGAGAATCCCTATGGGCAAGCTCTCTAGTTTCAGTGTCATTTGAACAGTGACAATATAAACAAAAGGGAAAACACAAAACATTTCTTTAGTCAAACTCTGTAAATCTATTTGTTTACATAGCAAAGCGATTTTCAAATGACCGAAAGAAAGAAAATAGGTTAAAATTTCATTGTTATGGAATTATTTGGTTTGGGAACAACTTCGTAGATTCCCCTTTAGATAAGGCTTAGACAAATATTCTTTAAAATGAAGTGTAGATTTGCATCCTTCACTTTAGCAATGGCAAATATCTTCATAGAGTTAGTCCTTAAAGCGATTGTTTAATCATTCTTCACCATATGTCTATTAAGAAGTGTGTATTATGGTTAAGAAAATAAATATAGCAAATACATATGCAAATTTTACATGCCTAAGATGCCATCATTATTGTTGCTTGATGACTAGAATTACAAAGTTGGAAGCCTTTGCATGGTATAACATTATCAAGTTTTCATTCTTCCACATACTGAGTGCTATTCCACCGGTGGATCCACAGAGAGATAAGTAGAGGAAGGTGGCTGACCTCAGGGATGACGTATGTGCTACTCAGCCTGGAGACTTAAGGGCAGTGGGTGAGGAAGCCAGAAAGTGGTCAATCTTTTCATAAACTGAGACAAGGCATTGATGCTTAAAAGTAAAGATTTTTTAATCAGGAAACCAGGCCCTTGTGGTTTGTTTTTGTTGCTGTTGTTTTTAAGGTAACTGGTAAAAAGTTTATAATATAGACTAAAAGACTATGATTTGGACAGGGAGAGAGTCTATTCTGTGAAAGAATGGGAATGAGCGTTAACAGAAACAAAGGTAGTGGTATTAGGAGGACCTGAGACTGCAGCAAAGACTGTGCGAGAGAGACAATTATTGTGAACAGGAGAATCCAAGGGCATGTGGCAGAGTTCAAGATGAGAGCCACAAGAAATACTTTAGAAGGAAGTAAATATGTGAATGTTGGAAGTCCCTATGGAATATATTTAGACAAATAGTTAAGAATTAAGAAAACTATCATTCATGGTTCTGGGTCACTCAAGGCACAGTGATTAGCAGCTTACAGTCAGGGTGACCTAAGACTTGGTTTGCCAAGGCATCTCCATGCACTTTTGTCATCCTTTTTCTATGGAACTGTACCAGCTTCCACAAATTCTACCTGTTTTTTGTTTTGTTTTTTGTTTTTAACTTAAGCATCTGTTCTTAAATAATGACTAACATTTATATGGAAACTTAATCAAAAAATTTTTGAGCAATCAAATAAGGTATCTGTTTAGTCTATTCACAGAGTATCAAATGCATTATGCTAGATCAAACAGGAAAAGTTGTTAGAAGATGGAGTTAGAGCTGAATTTGTGTCAGAATAGCTACCACTATTATGATTCCTGAAGGTAGGATGGATGGCAGATAAGACTGGAACTCTGTGGTCTCTCAAAAACCCCTTTAGCATTCAAACTATTGACTGCTTTTTCCTGCTGACGCAAATACACAACTCTCACCACAAAGAGAATAAGAGATAGTTTATTCTGGAGCCAAATATGAGTGATCATGGCCCAGGAACACAGATTCAGGTTACAGAAAATTCCATGTTCCAGGATGGAAGCAGTTTTGTGATGTTTATACAGTAACAGAACAAATAAAAGTAATAAATCAAGACACTTTTTAAATACATTGGTGAAACAGTAAGTAAGCAGATACAGCAAAAGAGAAATCTCAGCTCTTGGCCCCAGATTCTATCTAATGGCATTCTTAGCCTTTTGGTTTATGGAATCTAGGGCTTTGTTAAGTTAGTACATTCCTAAAGTTTTTGTTGTTGTTGTTATTGTTGTTTTTATTTCTTTTCTTTTTTTTAAAATTTTTCTTCTTTAGTCTCAAGATGTTAAGTAAGAAACAGAGGTCCAAGATAAATTGTAAATAGGCTGTGGGTCTGCAACATTCCAAACTCTCCATAGCCTTTGGAGTGCTAATCAGTTGATCAACCTGGTAGGAAGTGCAATGTAAGATGCAGGATTTTTCTGAGAACTTTTGTTCACATTCCTTACCCTCTAAACTTCACAATTCAATAAGCTCATATGCCCTAATGGTTTCTACTGTAACCTGTGTTCCAGTGTTTCCTGAAATGACTATTCTAACCTTCTCTTGTAAGTGGCCTTAAAAATATTTATTTTAGTGTCTTACATTTTCATCTCCAGTCAAAAGTTTAAAACATTAATTGTTTTATGTGGAAATAAAGATAACAGGAGTTGGACAGATGGCTCAGCCAGTTAAGACTGTGTAGTGCTCAGGCAGAAGTCTGGAGCTGGGTTCCCAGTACCAATATTGGGCAGCTCACAACTCCAGGATATCCAACACCTTGTTCTGGACTCTGTAGACCTGCATCCACATGTGCATAGACCTACATACAAACAAATATATACACATAATTAAAAATTAAAAATAAATCTTTTTAAAAATAAAAAATGAGTATATTAAAGGCTTGCATTGTATAAAGAACTTGCTATATTATTTTTCTGCCTGCTGCAACAAAATACCTGAAAAAAATCAACATAAAAGGAAAGGTTTATTTGGGCTCATGATTTGAGGGTATCGTGGTGGATCAGTCACTGTGGCAGGAGCTTGAGGCAGCTGGTCTCATTGCATCTGTAGTCAGGAAGCACATAATGCTGAACGGTGCGGCTCAGCTCCATTTTTCCTTTTTATTCTGTCGGGGACCCTAGCCCATGGAGTGGTGCCGCTCACATTTAGGGTCAGTCTTCCCATGCCTGTTGACCTAATCTAGAAAATCCCTCACAAGCATGCTCAGAAGTTTGTTTCCAGGTGATTCCCATATAGTTAGTTTCTACTCTTTGGCTTTTATAAATTCTGACCTTTCACTCTAACTGGATCTAAAAATTTGTGAGTCTATTTTTTTTTTTAATATCTTGTTTTTCCTTTCTAACCTGTCCTTCAGTACTAGTTTCCTGAGGTTTATCTGCCTTAACATTCTTAACTTCATCCACCCATTTAACTTGCATTTATCTTTAATTACTTTCCTTCCTGTCCTTCATGTATCTAATCTATCCATAATCACCTCTACTTCCTTCAAAATATCTATTGACCTTGCTCTTTCCAAGGCCACCTCCCTCCTAAATCTCTCATTATCTCATATAGGTTTTATTGCCCCAATTTAATTGTTTACTAAGTAATCTTGCTCTCTTTTATCTCTTCCTCATTTTTTTATATAGCATCTATGTTAGATGCTATTGAAGACATTTTCACAATGCAGTTTTGTTTGATGACATAATATTTAAAAATTAACATTTTTTGTTATATTTGGGGATATGTTAGAAGTCGGGTAATAGTCTATACTTAGCTAGAAGATAGAGGCAAGACTGAAACTGAAGTGTTTCTGTCCTGCTCTGAATGCTGTATCCTTTCCAGTGTGTGTTACAGGCTTGTTCTTTTCACTGCATATTTCCCTACTCTTCCATCGCTACAAATAGAGTCCATGTGGCTATTCCATGTAGGGCAACAGCAAACAAAGCATGTGGGTCTAGCAAAAAAGACTAGGACAGCAACGGGGGAGACCTAGTTAGCCTGACCAGAGCTGGGTAAGTGTGAGCCCCAGGACACATGTTTGCTAAGGAAGAGGTAGGCCAGAGTGAAAGGAGTTCAGTGCTTTCAGAGACACAGACAGGACATTTTGGTTCATGGAAATCAAGATAGAGCAAATGAAAAATGTCATTTCTATAATGAGGAGAGAACTGATGCTTTGTGGCAAGTGTTGGCTCTGTCCTCCTTCATGAGAAATGAATGTTTTTACATACACTCAGCACACGATCCAGAGACAGAAGTCAGTGGAGTCGCCTGGCTGGAGTAAAGAGTGTGGAAAGAGAAAACACAGATGAACTGTGTTGATTGTTGGGAATTAATGTTAACATACAAATTGTTTTTTTTTGTTGTTTTTTTTTTTAACTCATACTTTACCAATTAAGATGCAACACAAAGAAGGGATATGTTCAGGTCTCCTAGCTTCTGTGTCTGATGGTTGACTGCCTTTTTGTA